TGTATATATATATACAAGAGCACCAGGGGAACGGACATGGGGTGGGGTGGGGGTTGTATACATTAAATACAAGCCCTCTCACCCCGCCCAGCCTCTGTTGTGGCGCTTACGTATGTGTATATCCATACGTCACAGTACCAACACTTTTGGGCGCGGTTTTTCGTGTGTTAATGCTCATGCAGAGTGTAAGTAACCACAAAGTACGATTGTACACGCGATACGCGTCTAGGTATAATATGTATATACCGATTCGCCGTCCCTCCATTATAATATCGTATAGGGCCACTTTCGTCGAAAGGTCATCGAGCGGCCGGTTTCCATCAGGCATATTATACATGGGGTATCGAAGCACACTTTGACACGCGCAGTTTGTTCTTGACATCTCCTACATGTATCATCATACATTTACCGGTCATTCGAAGCGCCGACGCGACCACACAGTGTTGCTGGTTTAGTTAATCTTTATGTCTATGCACATACGAGTCCAGTGACGTGCTCATTGCGTCCACTTGCGCGTATATACCTACAGCATTGGAAAATTGCCCCTAAAAATGAGGGAGAGGTCCACTTGTCTCTCTTGATCATTATTGGTATTGCAGGGTGTGCACGTGACAAAGGGTATAGGGATGCACGCAGACATAATATATGGGCATCGCGTCGACTGATGCTCTCACTGACACCGTCAAAGTCTCTCTCTGTTTCTCCCCGGAGCTGGAGAATAAGTACATGATGGGTAACACATACCTACTTACTTACTTATCTCTCCACCTGTGCGCGCGCGCGCATTATCATGAAGGAACAAATATAAGCCATCCGCGACCGAGAGAGAGAGAGAGAGACGGAGTAAGAAGAAGAAGCTCGTTGCTCCCTCTTCCGCACACCTGATGCAGTGTATATCATGCGGTGATGTATAAACAAATTTCAGATAAAAAATATATTATTATTATTGCTCGTACAATAATATTGTCTTTATCATCACTAGAGTTTAAATTTTACTATTAATAATAAAGTCTTAGGATTGGTGATGAAAGTATTTTTATTTATTAAAGATTTGTCTTTTTTTTTTTTTTTTTTTTTTTTTTTTTTTTTTTTTTTTTTTTTTTTTTNTTTTTTTTGTTAACAACAATTCATGCATTGCATGCAATTGCGTCTTACGCATCAACTTTACCTGCATATGCACATGCGATGCGCACGAGTGTGGCGGATACAGGCGCTTCCGTAAAACGACATATCGCATCACAGCTGCTCTGCGCGGCTATACCTATACACGAGCTCAACTCAAGAGCATATTAAAAGGGGGGGGGAGGAGGAGGAGAAGATATAGATAGCAGCGCCGGTAGTTATATATAAGCTTAAAGTAGGTGTGTGCGTGTGTGAGTTTATATATATACATATATATATATATTTTTTTTTCCCCGCGGAATACCTACATATCGTACCGCGAGCGCCGAGCGTGGCGCATTGTCATCCGAACCCGCGCTCCCGTACAACGTGTCTCTGTTTGTGTTATTTTGTTCCATTACAATATTCTTTATTATCTAGATAATACTATTCTTCATATTTATTTGGTGCAGTGTATTTGTTTCATACGCATACGTCTCGTGCTTACTTGTGTCATATGATGTAGCTCATCTCTTTTGATCATCGTCCCCTTATACACGTGCCACCGCGTCTAGGATAACTCGAGAGTTGTTGTTGTTGTTTTTTTTTTTTTTATCTTTCGCTGAAAGTGCGCGCATCTCATCGCTCGTTCCTTAACCGATCTTTGGTCGATCGTGTGCTTTATATATATATATATAATATATCTGTGGTGGTTGTGCGTCGTTGTTGTCACATGACAGAGGACAGCGAGGACCGGCGCATGAGAGCTCGCGGAGCATCTTGATCCAGGCTTCTTCGCTCGCCGGAGCTGCCTCGGCATGAATCCCAAGGATGTGTACGTCGTCGAGGGTATCAGTGAGTTCGTTGTCCGATTTTTTTTTTTTTTTTTTCAATTTTCTTTATTTTTATTATTATATTAGTTACTGTGTACATGTACGTACAAACACGATGTCCGTTGGATTGTACCGGTGTACGTTTGATAAAATTAGCCCGACCTGCAGGTGTTGGATTTTTCACACGAATTTCGGTGCACATGCTTTATTTTATTAATTTTTTCTTTTGTTTTCATTGCAATTACTTGTACACATGAATATAGATGCCGTAACTTTTGAGATAATCGACGCAGCTCGTCGCATCGTTCATGTTACATAAGTTTTGTTTGACAACAATAATTTGCAAAATTAACTTTTATCGAGCCTCGCTTTTACCTTAAATCCACTTATGTTGGAGGAGCAAACGCACGTGGGGATCTCGTCATGTACCTGTCGGTGTACTCATATACATGCTTTAAATGCCATCGGCATGCGAATCGAAAAAATTCCACTCGAGAGAGATGCGAATCCGATATATATATATATACACTTAATTGCAGTGCAAACCGCGCGTCCGTCCGTGATTTACACGTGAGTATAGACACATCCGCAGCCGTGGAAAAAATAAGCCGAAAAAAAATGCTTGTCATCGATTATACGCTCGCGCTCGTTGACACGTAAGTGCATGGGTATACAGATCGGCGAGACCCGAATATGTATATAATATGTAAATATATACGTACAACAGGTACAAGAGTCAGGTTGGTGAAGTTGATTCCCTCCCCTCTTAGCCGTGATGTTGCACTCGCGCCTTTAGTATTATGTAACCCTGTGCTTGAGCGATCAACATTTTCCCGGAGATGATGATGATGGACGGCAGATGCAGTTGTCCGTTTCTCTGCCAATCTGCGCTTTTTGCTTTTCGAAGGGAAATCTCTTGAAAATCATGCCTCTCCCATATCCTCGCGCTCGACACAATGAGTCGTACGAAGAAAGGAAGAAGCGGAGATGAGCGACTATCGCGTGACTCTCGCGTATATACCTGTATACTTGTTCATGTCCGTTGAAAAACTACAATTGGGCCAGGGGGTATATACGTATAGAAACAGGTTCCTCTTTGGCACGGATTGTGGGTCCAGGTATAGTTTTTGAGTGCATTTCAAGCTAATGCCCCTTTTTTCGGGTTCCACGGGGGTGGTAAAAACCTCGTCTCACGTCCCTTTCCTCGTTCAATCCGAGGCAGTGAAGTTGGACAGATTTTGTCACCGCATTCGGTCGCGTCTTCGGTAAAACATAACACACATTATCACGTTATATTCTTACGCGAAGAGCTGTACCTATGCACAGGTGTGCTTTTCAATCGGCGAATCTTATCGTACGAGTTGGAGGTATACGCTCATTAATTAGCGGATATCGCGTGGAAAGAACAACAAAATTAACATTTTTCGCGTGGTATTATTATTATTATTATTATTATTGTTGCTCACGAGAATAAACCAAGCGCGCACGTGTGTGTACACAGTGATAAGTGATTGCAAAAAAATGATTTGTACGTGTTTTTTTTTTTCTTTTTTCTTTTAGCTAACCAAACCGGGGCAAACATCGGCTCGCAGGTATACTGCCAAAATCATCCGATTTTTCATTTTTCAGAAGATTCGGCCAAAATACCTCGAGCGCCGTATTCGAGGTATATTTGTGTACATATACTTGTACGTATACCTACGTGGTAAATTTTTTGAAGAAAAGACCTCCCGACGTAGTCGCTTCGGGAAGGGCCTTCGACGCGTGTGTATCCGTGAATGCGTATTAAGTACACATATATCATGAGCTTCCCCGTGCAATGCATATACCATACATGCACCTGTCGGCTATACGTATAGAAAGAAGAGTATTGTATACATGCATCTCCACTTGGGTACTTACGAACTCCTCGTCTCATCTCTCTGGTCTCTCACACTATTATCTCTTCGTTGCTGTTGTTACATCGGCTGCTGAGAGGCCTCCGGCGATACGTTCGACTATACATAATACCTCATGTATATATATATATACCTATTTATACCCTCGCACTGCACGTACACGAGACGATAATACGTTGAGTGCAGGTATATAGGTATGTACAGAAAAACAACGTGCTGGCGTGATCGCGAATTGCTATACCTAATGCGCCCTTTTTGGGGTGATTATTGTAATTGTCAAGCACGAAAATTGGCGAGGCGCTCCCAAGAAAAGTTCATTCCACCCTTATACTTAACATGGAACGGTTGCCGGGGTCGTTGTGTATCTCTCCCCCGGGTGCCCTCTCGCTATGTACATAATATATATTATATATGGGTGTGCATATTTAATCGATTGGGAGCAAAAACCGCGAGATAAGCTTTTGTACCTTTGCATGAGCTGGAATGTCTTTTTTTTTTTTTTTTCTGCTCGACTTTATCGGGAATGTCTCGAGCTCTTTGTTCGTATAATATCGGGCAATGAAAAAGTAAGAATAGCCTCAGTCATGATAATTCCGGTCGGTGTATTTCTGGAAAAACGAGCTTTACAGCTCTAGCGTATACGCGTGTCAATTGGCATTGCGTGAAAATAATATTAAATGACCAAGAGATGATGGGTGGAGGTGTGGGAGTGCGCTTATAATTATACATGCACTTATCGATTGTACTTTTTCTGCATTAATCCCATTTCAACTGGAGTAGATTAAGTCGTGGCGGGGAAAAAATGTAAAAAGCTTAGTCAGTCGTTAGCCTGATAAAGTTTATAGGGTATTTTTATAATCCTTTTGGCGCTACCATTGCATCGCACGCTCAAGTATATACGCGTGCAGGTTCATTGATCTGCTATATATTGATGCTCTTCTAATTGAATCACAGTGTGTTATAGTCATCAAATCACTCATCTGTAAAAAAAAAAAAAAAAAAAAACGCAGATAAATTAAGTAATCGTCGCCTCCGATACGTACCTCGTATACGTTACTAAGTATCACGCGCACGACAATTAATAGAATGATCATAGCTATTCGATTATTTTTTGTTATTTTTATTGTATGTATACATGCCATAGATCAATGCCTATTATATTATAATGACCGTATTTCCCATACTCGATTTTTTTTTTTTTTTTTTCTTTTAAACTCTATTTTTTCAATCGAGCAGTAACGTCATTTACCTGTGACGATAAGAATTCGTAATACATGTACAGTATCTCGTTACATGTTTCTTCTTCCTACGCTCTTTTCTCTCTTGTATACACCTGTATGGAGCTTGATTTTATTTTTTACAAACGCGCGCTCAATTGTACTTTTCTACTAGTCCATAACGAAAGCGTATACCAGATGCATCGATGCTTTTGGACCATCGTAACATATAAGGAAACACACGCGAATAAAAAAAAAAACAAAAAATTTCCTTCGTTATTCTCGCAGCGAAAAAGTTTGAACAATGGCTCGGCGAATCATTCAAAGCAGCTCTATCTGTATCTCCCTTCCGGCGCGATCCGTTTCCGATTGCGCAACCGCGTGATGCTCGCAAAAAAATTATATCCAAAACACGATCCCATCGGCCAAATGAGGAGAAAAACAAGCGCGGAAAGAGAAAAACGTAGGGCGCCGGTTTTTCCGAATGCGCACATAATCGACCTGCGGGTGTTCGAAAAACGAAGAATCACTGGTCCATTGTATGCGCACCATCGCCAATCAAAACGAAAAAAAAAAAAAAACAAAAAAAAAACGAAGCTTAAAATTGCTGCTAATCTTATTTCCTTTGCAAGCTCCGCTGAAGTTTGTTTCGATTCCGATCTCACGCGCTTTGTTATTTAGAGATGAAAAGCCTCGTGGACTCCGTCCGCTGTGAGTTATTACTTTTTTCATTGGTTGACGACCAACGAATGCCGTAAAGACTAGTATACAACGGTGAAGGGCACACTTTGACGCCGAGGTCGTGAAAAATAAATAAAAAACACCTCTCCCGTACCTAAAATGTGAGCTCATTCCAGCATCAATTTTACGCTTCGGATCGCGCCCAGAAAAATCAAAACCCCTTACATCTCATCCAAAGGGGATGTCATATTGCGGGACGAGCAGATCATATCACAAGCTTTGAATATAATATAAACCCGTAAAATGGCGCGCAAACGCGGGTTTTAACAATGGCATTGTCGCGCGCGACTCTGAAAGATTTATGCCTCTATTTTTACACGCTCCGTTTTCGCGGCAAACAACTTTTTTACACGCACAACACGTGTGGTACATTTTTACCCAATCGCGCGTACTTGTATTCATATAAATATATACCCCATGCGCCGCGATTCGGGATTTTACGTGTACAGTTAATGCTTTTCATTAATATTTCCGTCACAAAGGTGAATATACGTACACTTTTTTTTTTTTTTTAAACCTACCTACAATATATTATGCTCTTTCTCGGTACCTCCGATGTGCAGCATTATATATGTTTGACGTTGTTCCCCCTTATCGGGTTGTTAAAATTGTTGCGAAACGTCGGGTGAGCGTACACGTGAGATATACATACCTACTTATCATATTTGCGATTGAATTTCATCGAGGAATCCCATTTAATCTCTTCCATCGCTCCACTTGTCGGGGCGACGGAAAGTTCAAGATCCTTCGTGATGTGGCGCTCGGGTTTTCCGGGAATTTACGATGTTTGACTCGGAATTATTTATCACCATCGCCCGAGCCTCGCTTCGATTGTTTAGTTTCAGCCGTCGCCTTTCATCTTTTCTCTGTTTTACACCAAGGGCTTGTAACGTCACTCGCGGTGGGCAACATAGTATTTTTTGTAAGGATGATTTTTCTTTTTTTTTTCTTTTTTTTTTTAGATTTTTAACGTTTTTGAGGCTATTTTTCGAAGAGTAACATATATATTAGACCTCGAGCTGTAAAAACTGATTCTTTTGTTCCTAATGAGCAAACGCTTTTTATGAAATAATTACCGTATTAGCACAATTATGGATTGTACTTGCTTACCAGCGTGAAAGATGGGCATACTTTGGTGATGTCTGCTCATGTCAATGGAATGTTGT